TTTTTTTTTTTTTTTTTTTTTTTTTTTTTTTAGATGGAAAAAACTGAGCACGAGTATAATCCGCTGGGAACATGTAGAGGGTTGGACGACGGGCTCGAAATTAATTTGTCTGTTCCCAGTATCAATTTCGAGTATCATAGCTGCGATCCAAGCGGCAATATCAATTGGACTCCTCTCGTTGGACAATACGACAGACGAAGAGAGAAAGAGAGAGTCTTTTAATTAGCCAGCGCGGAGCACAAGTACTCACCAGCAATAACAGAAAACTAAATGCACGCGCATATATAGCATATGTATAGGCTTTTTTACGATCTACAGCTACGATGGTATATCGGATGTATTTGATACGAGTTTCTTCTCATCTTTCGAAAAAAAAAAAACCTCTTCAGAGACATCAAAGGCACCGTTACAATACTTTCGAAACAGTGATCAAGTCAAGTAAAAAATAAAATATTATTACACATTGCCTTGAGTTTTTTATTTTTATTATTAAAAGATTCTGTAGAAAAGTTCTTCAACAGATTTTAATTTTTTTTTTAGAATAATTTTAATTTAAAAAATTTAATAAATTTAATTTAAAATTTGAAAAAAAAAATCACCAACTTCATTTAACTCGATTAACAATAAACGTTTATCAGATAAAATTAAATAAATGTATTAAGTATTCCATGGTTAAAAGGAAAAGGTGTGTAAATATCGAGAATATCGAGAAACGATTTTGAATAAATTCGATAAAAAATCGATATAAAGCTTTTTAAAACACGCATAAGAGAATCTAGCAAAGATAGTGCCGCCATTAGTCGGCCTGTGAACGATAGACCAGGGTATGTAACTGAACAGGTGAATATCGATGAGAATCACGAGAAGTGCGGGTGAGGCTATCCATCCATCGATAGATAAGGATGCCGATAGGAGAATGGATGAGAATGCAATTGAAGAGCGAGAGAAGGTAGGATCTGAAGAAGCGTGAGAGAGCGTGGCGAGGAGTGTGTGAGACTCAAAGAGACAAGTACACAAAGAATTCTTTGAATGAGAGAGAGAGAGAGAGAGAGAGATTCAGATACATATACATGCGCAAGAGAAAGAAAGAAGATGAACGGAGGATCCCGATTATTCAGCATCGACGAGATTTGCAATCGACATTCTCTTCCTTTCGCCGCTCATTATATTGTGCCGTTCTAACCGTGCGGATCTCTTTCTCTTCGTCCGTGAAGCCTTCTTCGAAAAGGAGGGGAAGGCGAAGAGAGACAAGCATAGCATGGAACAAACGAGAAGTGGAAGGCGCATTGCTGTACCGTGATTGTCACACACCACCACCGCCACTATCTCCTACCAATTAACCGTCCTTCTCCTTCCAAGTCACGAAGCCACTGAAAACAAGAGATGCGCCTCGGGTGCAGAGAGAAAGAGAGAGAGAGAGAGAGGGAAGTCAGATTGCACGGTCTGCGGACGCGGAGAAACACGTTGAGACTTGAGACAAATCCGTGTAATTGATATTAAACAAAGGAAAGAAAGTTACAAGGAGAGGAGAAAAAGAAAAAAAAGAAAAGAAAGAGAAAGAACTTGGGATGAAGAGGAAAAGGAATAATCGTTAAGTTTCGTACAAAACGTCGGTTAAAGTGTTTCTCTCTATTCCGATGATGTTTCAAACACGAGTTTTTTATACATTCAATCGATAAAACGAGACTCTTAAATCGAAATCGTTGGCAAATTAATTTCTCTTCATTAGGAGGGGAAATTTCTCTCTTCGTACCCTCGTCAAATATTCACAGGATATCGATACTTTGATAACACTCTCTCTCTCTCTCTATCTCTCTCCACTTTATGGGTTTCAGAGTTCAATTGCCTTTTTTGTCATTAATTGTCGTTTCACAATGGCGTCCGTTGGAGAGCGCGTTGAAAAGCACTCGAAACGCGTGCTCCAGTAGGGAATCCCTACTTGGCATAAACTCGTCCTTCGTTTGATCGTTTTACTAGTCGTTTTCGCATCACTCCATAAGCAATTGTTTCGACAAACTTGGAGGCGGAGCGTTTTATCTTTGCAACTTGTCTTCCCCGATTCCCCCGTTGTCGAGCCATACGGCCTTTCATTTAATCCCTTCATGTAAATGCAATAGAGAGCTCTTTTTAAGCTTTTTAAGCGTATTTACGCACTTTACATATTTTACCTTTATCTGCAAACGTTTCAAGCATCCTCGAGAAACGCGTATATATACAAAACATGTAAACACGGTGTATCTTGAAACGGTGTCGAATTTCATGGAAAAATAAACCAAGCCCCTTTTTTCTCTCAGGCTCGTGTCATCGTTGATCCCCAAATCTCTAAACGCATACTACCACTACCACCAATGACATCAAGATCATACACTACGACCGTTAATAAACACTGTCAGCATCAGTAGCTGATTTTTTGTCGCCTTCACTCCCGCGTATTTTGCACGCTTAAAAAGTTTAGACCTCGCTTTATAACGAGCTTAAGACCGCGCGCGGTTAACGAGGAATGATTTACCACGTTCTTTGCCATATGGCAACTACTAATACATACAAGAGAATGTATACAAATTCGTACGCGTATACGTTTGAATACGAACGATTCGTGTGCGTGCTCGAGAGAGGCGACTTTATAAATCACCGACGGCTTACAGGCCTAATATAATCATGCCTAATAAAGTTGGCAGCCACTAAATTTTCTTAACTCGGCCCCCGCTCCATTCGAGGATGTAATGTTCAAACGGACACTCTAATATAGTTCAAGAATTCGTGAATCGAAAATATGATAAAAAGTATAGGAACAAGTATAGGAGATTGAAATGTTTGAAGAGTATATGTTTGTTCGATAATAAATTTCTAACAATTGTTTTCACAAATAATAAAAAAATTGTGTATACATATATATATAATTCTTCGACAAACGAAACATCTAAAAATTATTAAGATTTATTTATTTGATTAATCGTTCTTTCCAGATATCTCTTTCTTGTGATATATCTTAAGAAAATATGGTATTGGATATATAAGATAAATGAAGCGATTATTATTGTTGATTAATTAGTAATCACTTTGTATCATTATATGGACAAAGAAAGTAAGAAGCAGAGAAAGAAAGAAAAATTGAGGTGGAGGAATATTCTCATAAATAAATCGTTTTCCAAGCAAGGAATTGCTTTTCGAAGGACAGTTTAGTTAAGGGACTTGAACTCATGTTTGGCTCGATGCTACCAGCCGTATTTACATGCAAGATTTACAGTAGATTGCTATCGATTCCTACTACGTATATTCTCTCTATATTAACGTTCGATCGGTCGGGGAACGTCACTAGCAGAAGCGACTAGTTTGACCTTTGGATCTGGTTCCTTTCCCTCGGCACTATATCTAGGAGTAAAACTCTCAGAAATCGTGCAATTACATTTTCTTTCTTTGTTTGATCAATTCGATGAATTTTCTTATTTCTCTCAATTCGTATTTTTGTTTTTATTTTTTCTCAAAGTTTTCATATTTTTTGATGAATATTGGTTGCGTATAAAAGAAGATCTTCGTAATTTTGAAAATTTCATAGTTCATTATTTTAAGTTTCGAATAATTTAATTTTTTCATAGTTCATATCAACAATTTTTCTATAAATATAAAAATCTTTTGATTACAGAAGATCAAAGATCCATTTTCTTATAGATTTAATCTTTTTTTTTAAACATTCTTTCGAATTCTCAGAAATGTTCAATTTCGTTATGGATGAATATGTATGACACACATGTATATACATTATTAGACATTTATCTATTATAATACAAAATTTAATAGGGTGAAAAATTAATATATCATCGAAACATGTATACCAACGAATAATCTAAAATATAATACATTTTTTTTTTATTTTCAAATTTCTGATTATAATTTTGTCAATTATTCTTTTTATTTTTTTATCATTTATTTCAAAATTTTTTTTTTTATTTTTAATAACCAAACATTCGATGATCATCATTACCATCCTATCACAGAATTTCCGCATGAGAACACACTGTCCCGAATACGAAAGACCTATCAGCACTAATAACGATACGTGACCATCAAAGCCGCTAGATCCCCTAGCCGAACCATCCAGTTGCAAAAAGGAAATAAAGTAAAAGCGAGCAATTAAAAGCCAACAAGTCAGTCCTCTTGTCCCTCTTTGCTTCGGTCCCAATCCGACGTACCCCCCTCTTGCCTATCCTTTCAAACCTTTGCATCATCATCCAATCAAGATAGCCGCATTTCTGCTGCCAACTGTTTACGTGTGTGCGCGCATGCGCGCACAGACACGATGGATCCGATAAGTTTGTGCGCTTGTGTATACAATTCGTTCGGAATCCTTTCCTTGTTAGGAGTCATTTCAAACATTTGCCATATCACGATCATTCCGAAGCATTTCTTGCTGACTAAAAAGACGTTTCTATTCAGAGGCTTAACTCACGTTTTTCTCTTCGTATGCGTGTTAAGAGAATTAATTTCTGACCAGTCAATCTTTAAAATTCGTTCAAATATCTTAATGAGCGGTTTCTAATTTGACGCAGCGGTTCTCAAGGATATGTTTAGATATGGAGAGAATGGTCATTTAAGCGAACATACCTTAATTGGACTTACTATAACTGGAATTACTGTAATTGTATATAAAGAAAAAAATATTTTAAAAAACTCGTATTGAATTTTATAAAATTTTTACATTTTAGATGGGAATTTTAACGAGAAAGAAAATGATATTAAGAAATAGAAAAAAGATCAAGATTTGATATAAATAGAATTATTTTTTCTTTTAAATAAAAGATTCTTATAAACTGCAATAGTCATGATATTCTTGCATTTATAAAAATTCATAATGGATAATATCATTTCGTGATTTCTATACGAGGACAATGTTTGCAAAATATAATTCTCGAAACATAAGTCTCGATTTAAAATGTTGCACAAAAATTCTGATGAGAAGGCAAGACAGGTATTGAAGATTTTCCTTCCTGCTATTTATGAAAAGAAGCGTCATTTAGAAGACTATGTGTTTGTGTTTGAAGTTTCTTCTGAAAACAAAACCGACATAACCTCAAAGCAGACAGAGGTTGACTAGAAGGCACATCAATCGAAAATTGAAACGTCATTCTCTTATATCGTCATACCAACGAAGAAGACCAGAAAGCTCGAATTATCCGTCGTGAATTAGTGACCCTTTCCTGCCTTGGACGAGCATGTTTCCCCGGTAGATGAACCTTCTTTGTACCGTATGCGTCATCCTTCACCGATTCACCGTGCGTTTTATTTTCTTTTCTTTCCTTTTTTTCAGATTATCCCATGGAAAGAGAGAATCTACTGTGCACCAACCGCACTGCTCCCTCTGTTGAATATCA